AGTCGTTAAAATCCAATAGGATATCACACAAACTACAACATCAGGTGGTTCTTCAGAACAGCAGGATGAAATGGACGAAAATTTATGTAATTTGTTACTGAAGTTGGAAAACCTTAGCTATAATGAAGGTACTTACTTTTTATTATTCAATTAATCATTTAAATTAGGAATTCAGTAGGGACGTAGCGGGTAATATACAGGAGAATCTCAATATGCGGTATCGAGCCGGAAATTTCTAATATGCAAAAAGTTGCTCAAAAAACAATTGAATTAGGTTCCGCACAGCTGACTCGCTTTGAATTAGAAAATACTTTGAATTAGAAAATATAATAGGCTAGTATACAAAAGTCATTTAATGACAATTCTATTGTGGCTATAAGTGAAACACAAATAATGATTGAACAGGTCAGTGAATATTTGGCCAACCAATAAGGTTGGATATTATATATTAGTATAAATTTCCAGGTGACTATTGATTTTTCTGCATTCTGATTGGTCAAGATTCACTGTCTCTGAAGTGATAGTCACTGGTCAGTGACTATAGCTTTTTTTTCAAAATGGCTGCTCGTTTTGCCGTAGTAACAGAAGAGGAAATTGCCAAAATTAAAGAAGATAGCATTCCGAAAAAAACCCAAACAAGCTACAAAATATGGTTTAAAAATATTTCAAGGTAAAATATTAAACTTTACGTGCTTTTATTTGGAAAAAAAACTGGCTTAGTCGCAACGCGAAACAGAGCCGTGTCTGAGATTTAAATTTTGTAAACAAACTATTTATAGTGAAAATAAATTGATTTGAAGTGAATTTTTATAAAGTTGTGTGGATTATTATTTGTAAACACCTGGAAATTTATACTAAAACAATTAGTCGCCTCAGGCTCGGTGATTACAAGCCTATATTCACTTCGCCTTCGGCTCAGTGAATATAGGCTTGTAATCACCTCGCCTTCGGCGACTAATTGTTAAATATAACTTACTGACCGAGAGTGAGGGCAGTACTGGAAAATGTCCAACCGCAGTACATTATTCTAATATATAATTTGCCGTAATAGATTTACACGTTGGACAAATTGGACAGACCTTACCTATACTACATCTACATCCTATATGATATATTGAACATAAAAGAATATAAAAAAATACAGTCATAGACTCAAGAGTCAAGATAATCTTTAAAATGTGATGGTTTCCGAATCTGTAATAAAAAGCACAACAGTACACGCGTAAAAATTGAGAAAATCAACAACTTGTTCCCGGGTGATATTGACAGGCGTGACAGGCATATTGTCAGCGAGGCAGCGAATGCTCTCACTTGATTCCGAAGCAAAGTACTAAATTTAAACAATGCAGTATAGTGCCCTGCATGGCGGTTTATAATCAATGGCAGTACATGTTTGGAATGGTTGAAAATCAATGACAATGGCAATATAATCTCTATAACAGACGCTGCCAATCCTGCCATATACTTATGGTTATCTTATAGTTTGTGGGAATTGACGGTGTAGGTATTAGGTATGTAAAGAATGATTTCGAAAATAGGACCTCCATACATTTTGACGATCTGTATTAAATATGTATGACAGCTACACACCTCAGTAACCAAGCTGTATTATTTTCGTCAGACTCACATCACACATGCTAAAATTTCTCCCTCAGCTTTATCTATAATTTTTGTAGCTTTATCTATAATTTTTGTTTTTAAAATTTCACCTTGGCTATTTTATATAATTATTCCAGCAATTAGTTGCCACAGCAATGATGGTTCATTTGATTTATAACTATTAATTATTGGAATCATGTAATCAAATAATCTTTGAATAATATATAATAATGTTCAAGGTTAATTTCTTATTGCAACCATGATGAATAGCTCTTAGTAATAGCCTCCTGTTATTTGCGGTACAATGTTTTAAGGCGCCTCTGATGCTTGATACTTATACATTTTAATTTTACAGAATATTTTCAGTTATTGTGTTCTCAGTATTCTCCAATATCATAGTCATATGTTATAGGTACTATATCACAATAGTACCACCACAACTTGTCAGCCTCAACTGTCCATTCAACTATGATTTATTTGTTTTACTTTTTCGGTGTTAGCGACTGTTGACCACTTAACCTTCCTGACTGACCTCGCCTATGGTAAACCTTCCTCGCGGGTAATACCCGCATGCCCGCAGCTTTTTTGCAACTCTGATATTCAAGATCAGCAAACGTAATGTTTTTTTAACATTTTAAAACATTTTTATTGTTATAAACATTGAGTTTACTTATTTTGAATTATGCATAATTGATTTTCCTAGTCAGTTTTTTTCAATTAGGCCTAAGAGCGCTGAAATGTGCCTTAAAAACCATCATTCAAAAGGCTGAACTGTGGAAGAATTGAAACACTTTTATTAAAAGTTCGCTTGGTAGCTTTCCTCGGCTTTCCTGTAGCCTTTTTATTATGTAGTGTGTTCTTCACTCGGACTTCTTCATCCTAACCAGAAAAAAAAACCGGTTAGGCAGCCTGTGTATGTAATCCGCTCTCAGATTGTTCGTGTTCTCATAACCTTATTTTTGTAAAATTTCACCATTGGCATATAATAAATAGAGAATAATACATGGGTGCGCGGAAATACCAGATTTATTTCGAGTGTTGAACATGATCGATATCTCACGAGTGAGCGCAACGAACGAGTGAGATATCATGTTCAACACGAGAAATAAATCTGGTATTTCCAAGCACCCATGTATTTTTCTGTTTATTATATAAACAAAATTCAGTGAAAAACAATAAAACGTCCGTGGCAATGCGTTTTACAACAAGTGATATTTTCACACGTAAAAATATCGTATTTTTTACGTGTGTTTAAATACGAATTTTCTCAGTGGCCAAAAACTCTATATAACACTTATGTTTATATAATAAATAGTAACATCTCTGATTGAATTGATATCTGCTCATGTGATATCTGCTGATCAAGAGCCCGAGGGGAAAAGATAATGAGACAAATTGGCCAAATATTTCTAAATTAGGAGGTTTTAGGATGGCTATGCTTAATATAGCTAGCCTTCCGAAACACCTTGACGAAATTCGCCTGCTATTGCATGATAAAAAATTGAATGTCTTGGCACTAAATGAAACTCGCCTTGACTCCTCTATTTCGGGCGACCTTATGAGTATCGAGGGTTACGATATACTGCGCTCTGATCGAAAACGAAATGGAGGGGGGTATGTATATACGTTAGGTATCATGTAAACTATGAAAACCGTCCAGATTTAATTCCAAACGATCTAGAAGCCGTTTGTTAGGAAATAAAACAAGCCAATAGTAAATCTTTCATTTTTTCGAGTGTTTATAGACCACCAAATACTACTGTTGAGACCTTTTCAAAAATTGAAAGGCTAATTCAACTAGTGGATGATGAAAACAAAGAAGTTTACATGTTAGGTGATCTGAACTGTAATCTTCTCGATTCAAATTTGTCGAATGTTAAAATGCTTCAGGAAATAATGCAACTGTACCAATTAACACAAATAATTGATGATCCTACACATGTTACTAAATTTACAAAATCAATACTTAATGTTTGCATTACCTCCTCTCCGGATAAAATTATTCAATCAGGCGTGGTGCATCTCGGTACAAGTAACCATAGTTTAATCAATGCAACACGTAAACTAAATTCCGTCGTTAAAGGAAATTCTCAAAATTCGGTTGAATTTAGAAACTTTAGGAAATTTAATGTTGAAAGCTTTTTCAGTGACTTGTATATGCTTCCATGGGTAGAGCTTGACTGCAAATAAAACATGGATGAAATGTGGCAATGCTGGAAAACCTTATTTCTTCACCGAAGAGATAAAAAAGGTTAAGGAAAAAGGGTAATGTTCCCTGGTTCAATAAAACTGTTAAAAATAAGTTGTTTCAGAGAGACCACTTTAAGCGGATAACAATAAAAAACAATAATGAAAATGATTCGAAGCTGTACAGGTCATCTCGAAATGCTGCAAATATTGCCTTGCGAAATGCTAAAAGTGAATACTGTGCAACAAAATTCCTCAATTAGTCGAACCCAAAACATGCGTGGAAAACAGCTAATGAGATACTATAGGAAGAAGTCATAAGCAAAATATTGTTAATGAAATTAATTTACCAGAGAAAACAGTCACATCAACTAGTGAACTGGTTAATGTTTTTAATGATTATTTTACCGATGTTGGTCCTAAACTTGCTGAAAAAATTGAATACGAACACAACTGTAGCTTTCGAGATTTCATTCCTCAACATGAACCAGTTGAGAGATTTATTTTCCAACCTGTAAATGTTGCAACAGTTTATTTATTTATTTGTTTATTCAACTTCGCCAGGTAAAATTACACGAATGACATGCATACAATACAAATACAATATTATACATGTGACGAAAGGCGGGAACACCACAACAGTTAAAACCAATTACTGCGGGCCCAGTAAGGATAACTCACTGGCACTGGAAGATCTAGTTACTCTCGTGGGGATTATCGGTTTAGGGAGAACATCTTCAGATATGACAACCAGACCATTTATAGCTTTAAAGAAGAACACAAGATCCATGTACTCATGCCAGTACGATAACGGCATCAGTTCTAAAGTGATTAACCTATCACGGTAAGATTCACTACACATGAAGGGAAGATTCAGCATCAACTTGGAAGCTCTTCTCTGGATACGTTCTGTTCGTTTGATGAGACCTTTGGACTGGGGCGACCATACCTGACTTGCATAGGCAAGAACAGGGCGAACCACTGACAGATAAAGTGTGCGACGAGTCCTTGTGTTTGTTATTTCTCTACCGCTTCTCCTCACGAAACCTAACAGTTTGTTTGCTTTTCTACAACGTTCCAGAACGTGCTTGGTCCACGTAAGGTCAGTGCCGTAGGAACAATCGATTTGTAAAGAAATTAATAACGCAGAACACGAATATATGAATATCTGCCCCTCCTAATTATCGAGCTTGCTACGGCACTGCGTAAGGTCACTAGAAACCCGAATTCCCAAGGTCCTTTTCGGCTGATGTTGTTGTAAGTTCGTTGTCCTTGATCGTGTACGGATAAAGAACGGGCTGGTTTTTTCTCGGTACACGCAGACATTTACACTTGAGTTGGTTGAAGACGAGACCACTGGAGGTAGACCAACTGTCTAGGTTACTCAGATCAGTTTGGAGTAAATCAGCATCACAGATAGAATCCACGCGACGAAAGATCTTGGTGTCGTCAGCAAAGCAGGCAACACTTGAGTTCTTGACAACATCAGGTAGGTCATTTACATAGAGGAAGAACAGGATGGGGCCTAATATACTGCCTTGAGGTACTCCCGAAGACACTGTTTTTTCAGAAGACGTTGCACCAAGAGTAGTAACGCGCTGTCGACGATTATATAGATAAGAAGAAAACCAATCAAGCAGAGATCCACTGATATTGTATCTTTCAAGTTTGGCGATAAGCGCAGCGTGACTGACCTTGCCGAAGGCCTTAGACATGTCCATGAAAATAACATCTGTTTGTTTACCCGAGTCTAACAGAGAACCAATGGAATTGAGCACCTCAACCAGCTGGGTGGTACATGATCTGCCTGGGATAAATCCATGTTGTGAGGTATTAATTTTTCCAACAGGTGAACACGCAGCTTGCTCAGCACGCAGCCCTCGATACGATGCAGAGGAGTGAAATCGGACGATAGTTCTCAAAGTGGGTTTTGTCTCCTTCCTTGAAAACTGGAATGATGATAGCCAGTTTCCATTCCTTTGGTAAAGAGCCACTATTGAGAGATCGATTAAATAGAGAGCATAACGATGGAGCAATTTAATGGGCAGTTTCTTTTAGAAGACTGGAAGGTATACATTTAGGGCATGTTGCTTTGTTGGTATCAAGGTTTAGAAGAACAATTAAAACATCGTCGAGGCAAAGATTCAATTCCGACAGAGTAGATTCGCAACCGGTAGTTGAGGGAGGAGTTATTGAATCAATTGGATTGTCGTTGCCGTTTAGAACAGATGAAAAGTACACATTGAAAAGCTCTACAATGTCACGAGGGCAGGATGCTGACTGAACTGAGGTCGGGTCCGATCCACCTACTCCCATCGTGACTTTTGCTGGCACGCTGGAATCTTTGGTCTTTAGTTTGAAAAGAGACCAAAACCTCTTGGAGTTGTTATGCAGATCGTCCTCCAAGGTTTCAAAGAAGCGAGCCTTGCCCTCCGAGATTAATTGTTTTACTTTAGCACGTAGTTCCCTGAATTTATTCCTTAAAGCATCAGTCGGAAATTATTTAAGTTTTCGTCGCGCAGTTTCCTTTTTCTGAATTACATGAATTATTTACGCATTAATCCAAAGAGGACTATTAATGTTTTTGATCGTTTTAGTAGGAATGTTCTCATATGGAATCATTCTCATGGGTGACCTCAATAGATTAAGGACCTCCAGTATATCTCGTTTGTTTAAATTGAAGCAACTTGTAAATTTTCCAACTAGAGGTGAGAGAACATTGGATGTGATTTTGACTAATATATCTGAATTCTTCGATAATCCTGAGAAAATGGCACTCTTTGGTCTATCTGACCATTTTACGATATCGCTTTTTCCAAATATCAGAAATATTAATACGAATAGACCAAGAGTAGCTAAATCACGTGACATTAGACCAAGCAACAAAATGGCCCTTGGGAGAGTTCTTTCAACAATTGATTGGTCGTGTTTGGATCTAATTAACTCTTGTGAGGGAAGGTTGACTTTTTTAACAAAATTGTATCTGATTCTCTTAATTTAATCATGCCGATAAAAATCAGGACTATACATAATAATGATGCCCCCTGGATGTCCGACAAACTTAAACGTTCGATTAAGAATCGGCAGCGAGCCTTACAATCAGGGAACAGTATTGAATTTAAATATTATCGCAATGTAGTTAACATGGAACGAAACAAATGCAAGTCCTCCTACTATGATTGCAAGATTAAAAACCTGAAACATGTTAAGCCTAGGAACTGGTGGAGTGCAGTTAAAAAAATAAGTGGAATAGATACAATCACCAAATCTGATCTTCGCTCCAATTTACAAATTGATGACCTCGATAACTTAAGTGATATCGAGGTTGCAAATAAAATAATGACAAGTTTCTGGAACCACTCCAAGAGTTTCAACCGTTGCAAATGACAGTACCAAACAACGACTCCATTTCAAATGTCCTCACAGTGTCTGAACTGGACGTCTGGAATTGTTTAAACTCACTCATTCCTTGGAAGTCATGTGGGCCTGATAATATCCCGTCTTTGGTTCTTAAAGAATACGCAATGATTCTCATTACCAGTGATGAAAATCATAAACAGTTCCTACACTGAAAACAAACTACCCCCAATTTGGAAGCAAGCAAATATCATCCCAGTCCCAAAGGTGACGCCAGCTCATGACATTAACCAACATCTTAGACCCATTTCGTTAACTCCTCTACTTTCTAAAGTCGCCGAGGAATTCGTGGTTATTAAGCATTTAAAACCCGCAATCCTTAAAGTTTTAGATGTAAATCAATATGGTGTTATTCCCGGCTCGTCCACAAACCAGGCGCTTATTAAAATGATTCATAAATGGTCGGAGAAAACAGACGGTGCTAGAGCCTCAGTGAGGATTGTTTTGGTTGATTACCAAAAAGCTTTCGATTATGTAGACCACACCATCGTCCTGAAATCCCTCAAAATCCCTCAAAATCCCTGATTCCACTGTTAGTTGGATTACAGATTTCCTGAGTGACAGACAACAACGAACCAAATTGGGACACGATTGCTTTTCGGAGTGGCGGAGTGTCCCAGCTGGTGTCCCTCAAAGAACCGTGGTTATTTATATTGATGATAAAAACACGTTGTTTAGACGAGGTAAAATTCGTAGACGATCTAACGGTATATGAAACAGTAACCAGATTTGGTTCAAGTGATATCCAACATGCAGTGTCCGAAAAGGAAGAGTGGTCCAAGTCAAACCTTTTCAGCTTGAATGAAAACAAATGCAAAGAATTGCGGATAGACTTTGCGAAAAATAGAAATCCCTTTCCTCCTATTAAAATTAATGGTAAACCTTTACAAGTGGTGGAAGAGCAAAATTACTGGGTCTTACTATCGCGAACAATTTGAAGTGGAATAGTCATGTCAATAATATAGTGACAAAAAGTTCCAAAAGGACTTACCTTTTAGTGCTGCTGAAACGAGAAAAAGTCGCGATTCAAGATGTTTTACAATTCTATACCGTATGTATCCGCCCCATTCTGGAATACGCTTCCACTGTTTTCCACTACTCTTTACCTAAATACTTGAGTGATGAAATTGAACAAGTACAAAAACGGGTTCTTCGAATTGTATATCCGAACTTACATTACGAAGATGCATTGATGGAAGCTGGGATGGAGTCATTGTACGCTAGAAGGCAAATTGCCTGCAATAAACTTTTTAATCAAATTTTAAATAACCCGAACCATAAACTTCATAATTTAATCCCTAAAATAGAGACTTCATTAAATTACCAATTACGAAACATCAAGAAGATACATGTTCCGAAAACGTTTTAAGAATTCGTATGTCATCGCTAGTTGTTTAGACATAAATAATCGTAATTCAACAAATTAGTGTTAGTTTTAATATTGATAATCTTCTTAGTAAGCCATAGCATAGGTTGTAATTTTTTAAATGTGATATAATTTGTATTCAGTCTTATTTATATTGTAATCGCTTACCAATTCAGTATTTGTATAGCCTGCTCACACACTGTTAATTTCGAGGAGTCAAATTGACTCCAAAAGTGGAGTAAATAAAAAAGGTACAGAACGACTCCTTTTTTGGAGTAAATTTTACTCCTTTATTTACTCCATTTTTGGAGTAAATTTTACTCCATAAGTAGAGTTGTTTTTACTCCTCAAAGAGTAAAAACAACTCTACTTAAGGAGTAAAATTTACACCAAAAATGGAGTAAATAAAGGAGTAAAATTTACTCCAAAAAAGGAGTCGTTCTGTACCTTTTTTATTTACTCCACTTTTGGAGTCAATTCGACTCCTTTGGAGACAAAATGACTTCTATATATCGGAGTAAAGAAAAGTCTTTAACTAACTTTAGAAATCAATAAAGACATTTTTCGAGTCAAAATAATTTATTATCCCTACAAGTAAGGTATATTATAGCAGGAAATACAATTTGCTGTAGCATAATATAATGATATACTCTTACGCCCTATAATATTTAATGCAGTTCTAAAATGAAATTTTCTTTAGAATGATATCATGAATACATGTGGAATACAATTACAAGCCTGTAAGCATGAATTGAACCTCCAGCACTGCAATTCTACCACAGCCCTCTGACCTAAAGAGCCCTTTTGCCAAGAGGTAACTACAAGTTGCTGTATATATACCATGGTGGTGTCATTGGTAGTGTATTAAATAAACTGCCCATGATGACACTAGTATTATGTACATGAACTCTTGGTTACAGTAGAGCTTGATTGACTCTCAGGGTGATGGACTCTTAGGGCTTGAGGACCCTTGACGGTTAAAAAGCTGATCAGAATCACAGGGCAGCAGGTTCCATTCCCAGCGCAGTATTATATAGTTATCGTTCAAAAAAATTACATTTACAGAAAAGCTTTAACCCATTAAGTGGCGACACTCTCTCCTTAATGAGCAAAAATTGTCTGACCACATTAGACAGAAAAAGTAAAAAAGTAAAGCAAATTGCCACTTAAAGGGTTAATATTCTGTTCAATGTAGAATATTTACAAGTAAAATATACTGCATGTATTAAATGTATGTAGTGTCACTGCTCAATCAAACATGTCAAGCAAGTCCATTACTAAAAATTTAGTACAAAACAAGCTGTATACCACAAGTCGGCAACTCCATCCCTTGCATGGTTTGCTAATTCACAAAAATTCTCTCCAGCAAAAGAATAACATTTTCCAAATAGACCATGAAGTACCACTTGTTTAGACAACTTGCCTTCTCCTGGGAAGCTTTTGTTGAATCCATATATTAATGACAATCCCTAGTAAGAAAACAATATATAAGGGTGATAAATAACAGCAGCAAATTATTGATTGATGTTTGTGATGTTACTCTGAGTGTGCATTCACACCGGGCAAGCTAAAAAGTTAGTTTGGCCATGGTGGGAATCGAACCTGCGGCCTTTGGGATACTAGTCCAATGCTCTGTCAACTGAGCTTCATGGTCAAGTCTGTTCGAGTTGATGATATTTTGCAACTAGTTCCAACGAGTCTAGTTCCTTCGATATCAGTGTACAGGGGTATTCAATGTTACGATTATTTTGTGTGTGTTGGTGTCATATACTCAGGTGAATATATGATGTTTGTGATGTTACTCTCACTGAGTGTGCATCCACACTGGGCAAGCTGAAAAGTTAGCTTGGCCACGGTCACAGGTTCGATTCCCACTGTGGCCAAGCTAACTTTTCAGCTTGCCCGGTGTGGGTGCACACTCACAGTGACATCACAAACATAATATATTCACCTGAATACATAACATCAACACACACAAAATAAAAATTATTGATTGATTGACAATACATTTGCTATTTTTGGTTGTTTGCATATACAAAGCAAGAAATACAAAATTCAAATGCTTTTACTCATTTAATGTAAGCATGCAATTGAACTAACATCATTCAAATTAATACAACTTTTCTGGTAAAGGGTGTTTAAAATAGAGGTGCATAATTGACCCAAAATTCATTGTCCCAAAATCTTGCTGATGCCAAGCTAGGATTTTCCATATAAATTATATACAATCACCAACGATTTGGTACAGTATTACCCCTGGGCCCTGGGTAAAAAGATCTCTGTGATTGTTTTTGTCAGTTTATACATTTCGAGACTGTCTGCAAAAGTATGAGTGATTGATCACTTGTTGGTTCACTTAATTGGGAAATGTGCTTCTACTATATAACTCAGTCTGGGTGATTTGTTTTGGCAAGCCTGCCCATCTAAAGAGGCTCATGTAACCAGACATTCATCCAGGGAAAGCGAGCTATAGGCAGGTTACCTGGGTGGCTCGCCTCTATATAAGCAGCCCCTTACATGTGTTTTAGGCTGA